GAGCCTAGTGTACGATTCCGAATGAACGGTCGCGTGTCTCATTAATAAAACATTGTGCCCGTATAATGAAAAGCAATACTTCTGGGATTGAACAGTTACAAGAAATCAAAACCTCCTGACAGTTCTACAATGCTGTTTTTGTGTGTTTCTGTGCTTTTTTTTACTAGAACAAATTCCTAATATGTATCTTCATGTCTGTCTGTCCTAACAAATTACCTTCCACAGGTAGCATTATAAGGTGTTTTTAAAGCACTATCAGCACATTTTTGTTTGCTTTTTCTCGTGGGGGGGCACCTAAACATAATTTCTGCCATTCCTCCTCCATCTCATTTCTCTGTCTTTACTGGCAGAGCTTTTTCTTACTCAGGTCGACATGTGCTCTGCATCACAACGCTTTGCGCTTTTCAGGAGCTCAATATGCGCAGGGACGTTGCTGAGGGGCAACTTAAAGTCTTTGGCTTTAAAGTGAGCATTTTCTTGGTTGCAAAGGGTAAACACAGTAATCTCCAGTAGATTACAGTAGTTAAGCTTCATGTAGATAAGAAATAGGGTGTGGCCTCAGCTCAGTAAGGCAAAGCCATTTATACAACTCAGCAGAGAGAAGCTGCAGTGTGAATACAATGGAGACACATATTCCACATGTCAGCACTTACACTACGCTGTAGTGGAAGCGTTATTAGGATATTTATTAGTAACGTACGGAGATGCTCTTGAAGTTCCATCTTCTTGCTGTGGTCAAATATTACATAGTAGATCATAGAGGAAAGTCAAAGCAAGGTTAAATCGCCTTCTGTGGATGTAGTACAAATCATTTATTTAGCACATCAGTCATTTTATCAAGCCATGTAAATTGATTGAATCGATGAATCAAAGAGGGCAGCGGAGGAGAGAATGGGTTGATTGATGACGCAGGAGACGGAACTTAGGGAGCAAGAGTCTAAAAAGGTCAAGGGTTGCATGGGAGGCATTTATGGGCAATGCTTCCTCTTAATAGAACCTATGTACTCTTAATCAAAAGTGGTTGTGTGTGTGTGTGTGTGTGTGTGTGTGTGTGTGTGTGTGTGTGTGTGTGTGTGTGTGTGTGTGTGTGCGTGCGTGTCTTCATACATCCTGCAACTGTTCCTCTGAGGACGCTCGGCCTTGTGATCGTGGCGGGTTAAGTGATGGCAAAGCCCAATAATAAATCTCTAGCGCAACCTGCACAGGTGACCCGAAGGTCACCGTTTCATTAACTGTCTTCCACTTTGATTTTCTCATCCCTCGTTCCTGTCTGCTCGCAACACTCACATCATTCCTCGGAGGGTAACATGGAAAGAAATAAGAAGGTGGCTGCTATTGAGCTACAAAAAAGTAACAAGGTCACTCTTGTATTTGTATGTTAAATATAAATGTATAAACATCTTAGCTTATGCCGTAGATGCCATAAATCTTATCTTAGCTTCACGTCAGACTGGAAATAGCTAGCTTGGCTCTACCTAGAAGGTCAGTCCACCTCCAAACATAACGAAATAGCATTACGTCATCAATAACTTTTTGTCCATTCTCATTTATCTAGCCTTTAAGCTAGGCTAACCGTTGCTTTAGCTTCAATATTGTTCAATGGATCTAGCATTACAAATGTAGTCAACAGATGGATCAGGAGAGAAGATAATGGTCAACTGGCATGTGTCTCACTCAAATCTTTTCATATAATTCAATAACACTCCTTCTTTACTGTAATCGTTACAATAGTTACCAGAAGTGTGCGCTGTCCCAGGCTTTTATACAGTGTGGATGATTTGAGCCTTGAACAACCAATGGAAAGGGAACTGTGGTGTAAACTTGTGTAAGTTCTAAAAGCCTCCTCTGACCGCCTTTGTGTTTACATGAATGTTTTACGATGTCCCATGTTGGTACTAAAAGCACCAAGGACTGAAGCCAAGTTTATGCTCTTGCGTTTTCAGAGCGACGCAGACGCAAGACCCCCTTGCGTGTCCCTTACGTGCCTTTTCACACCTCCTTGCGTGTTTGCGTGTGTCGAGGCATTTTTCTAGGCTTGTGTCGCTTTCGACCTCCCTCAACGCACCAGGCTGCGATTGGTCTGCTAACTACGTCCTTTACGGAGTCTCACATTTCCGCTTTCATAGTCCGATACCATCCATCCATCCATTTTCAACCGCTTATCTGGGGTCGGGTCGCGGGGGCAACAGCTCCAGCAGGGGACCCCAAACTTCCCTTTCCCGGGCCACATCTACCAGCGCTGACTGGGGGATCCCAAGGCGTTCCCAGGCTAGTGCAGAGATATAATCTCTCCACCTAGTCCTGGGTCTTCCCAGGTGGCCGTGCCCGGAACACCGTAGGGAGGCGCCCAGGGGGCATCCTCACCAGATGCCCAAACCACCTCAACTGGCTCCTTTCGACGCAAAGGAGCAGCGGCTCTACTCCTCCCCTAACTCCTAGCGAATGGCTGAGCTTCTCACCCTATCCCTAGGGAGACGCCAGCCACTCTCCTGAGGAAACCCATTTCGGCCGCTTGACCGGTAGATCGAGAGCTTTGCCTTCCGGCTCAGCTCTCTTTTCGTGACAACGGTGCGGTAAAGCGAGTGCAATACCGCCCCCGCTGCTCCGATTCTCCGGCCAAACTCACACTCCATCTTGCCCTCACTCGTGAACAAGACCCCGAGGTACTTGAACTCCTTCACTTGGGGTAAGGACACATTCCCTACCTGGAGTAGGCAATCCATCGGTTTCCTGCTGAGAACCATGGCCTCAGATTTAGAGGTGCTAATCCTCATCCCGACCGCTTCACACTCGACTGCGAAACGTTCCAGTGAGAGTTGGAGGTCCCAGACGGAAGATGCCATCAGGCCGATACCGCCATTATTAAAACAAAGAATGTTTACGAGAGAACGGATCAGATTTAAGAACTTTTGTCGAAAGAAATGCGTAAATATGACCGCTTATACAAGCCGTCATTGGCGGCTAGACGTGACTCTCTAGGTCGTCTTTGACAAAACACGTTACCCCACCTGTTGTTCTGGCGGTGAAGACTTTTAGAACCATGAATTGAAACGAGTGCGTCAACGCAACGACGCAGGCGCAGAAGCATGCGCCGGCCTTGAGGGTTCTCTCCTCCGCCTTGCTGCGTTTGTTGCGGGCATTCTACGGGCTCTTCTTCTCTTCGGCCCTGAGTGGAGGGTCGACTCTTCCAGATTCGCCACTGCGGCGCCGCTGAAATCGGGGGCCAAGGATCTCTCTCCTTTGATTACAGGCTTAACGTGCCCATTTCATGCATTCTTGCCCCTCGTGTCCTCCGCACACACGGCAAAGCTCTGACTCAATGTCTATACGGGAAAACTAAGGCAAAAATACAGAATTAAAAAAAAACTGTTTTAGAGGAGGATGTTCACGCTGCGCAATCAGACCTCACTTTCCGCACTCAGCTCAGCCAGTGGGGGCCATGTCTCCAACCGGCAAGGAACATTCAAATTTAATGCGTAGCCTCTTTTTTCCGATTCCTATTTCCGCAGGCCGTGTCCTCAAATGAATGCGGCCCAGAGCTCTTTGTTAACAGCACATCTTTGAAAGCACTACTGCTCTGTCACTGTGCCGGAGAACAAAGTGGAATCAGCAGGAATGTATTGAATGCTGAGAGGGAAGTGGGGGGATGGGGGGGGTATGTGAAGGACAGCGCCGCATGTTGTAGCATGGCGACAAGGTTCCGTGCCGTGTCATTATAGCAGAATACTGGTCGAAGAAAAATGATCTTGTTACTTTAATAGTTTGCATTATTGTTTTCCTTTTATTAAGTTGCAAAAACGGAGACAGACCCATGCATTTTGTCTGGGAATGGTACAGAAAAACCGGCCCTGTGCAGCACACACAGAAGTGATGACATGACACAACTGTAGAGATTGTTCAAGAGACAATTTCTGTCCTGCGTCAAGACATCTGAGGAGCGATTCTGAATCTATGGGGATGGATAACAAAAATGTGATGTTTCACAAGCAAGACGAGGAGGTAGCGCACCTCAGCGTGGCCGGACCTGTGACTTATTTCAACATTATAAACAAAAAATCTTTTTAAAATCTTTTTCATGCTGACTTTCAAAAACGTCCCATATGTTGTTTTTCTGATAAAATGGTCTTAACTTTAACTTAAAGTTCATCTTTTATACACAGTGGGACAGTTACACTGGTTTAGAATTTTAGGATTAGATTTGTGTTCCCCAAGGGTTTGCTAAAACATTTCTAAAAACCTTTCCTGAGAATTTTTCTATTTTTGTTTTTCTCTTCCATTCATCTGTGTTAAGCTTCAGTTCTGTTTGTTCTGACAGTGCAAAAAGATAAAGAAGTCTATATTCATATTTATTGTCAGTCCCAAAGACATCCCTTTGTATTCTTATCGGGACTTCCACTGTGATCGGTCTTGTAAGTCGACAGTGACCTTTTTGCTTTCCCATCCAGTAAGACTGGCTATAATCCCCCCCCCCCCCCCCCGAAAAGAAAAACATGATTGCACAGGTACTTTGTCTAGGAAAATATCCTTTTATACTAAACTTAATTAATTCAAATCACTCCAAATGTGGCTATAAAGTAAAAACCACAAATTCTAGTAATTAGGATGCTGAATGAAACCCCAAGAGAAGGTCTTCTGCACAAGAGTTTGTCCCTGATCCTTCAAAATAGCTTGTAAGGCTTTTAATGGCAGTCAATTTGGTTGATTCCAGATTTGAACTAATAGCTCTAATGAGGATATTTGACATCATTTCAAGGGATTGGTGATTGTGTTTTCTCCATTTGGTTTCAATGAGGATTTAATTACGTAATTAATAGTGCCACCGCTTCCATACAGACAGAACCCGGGAGTGTAGCAAAGCAAAAATAATTCAGGCAGCAATTTGTATGTTTCTCTGGAAGTTCCTGCGTACATTGTTACAGCTGGTTGAATTGCCTCTGCGAGGATTCTGACTTTATAACCATGTATTAATAATGAATGCCCCCCCCCCCCTCTCTCCTCAGATCCGGACTTTGCAGACATGGGAGTACCCCCACCTCTGCCCTGTAGGTATACCCCCTCTCGCTCTCTCTGCCTTCGTTTCTTCCCCTCTCTCTCTCTCTCTCTCTCTCTCTCTGGTTACATTCACTTTTTTGATCTCAATAAGCTAGGGGTGTAACGATTCATTTTACGATTCGATTCGAATCAAGATTCATGGTTGCCGATTCGATTCATGGACGATCTGGGTTAATTTAGAACGATTCGATTCAGTGCCTTGAAATCGATTCAGGAACTTTACTGGACAGTGCAGGCAAAGTTTCTGAGATCCCTGTTGTTTCTTGTAGGGAAATCAGGTTTAAATTAATTATGAATATTATAAACAAGCAAACAACAATTGATGGCAAATGTATTAACCTTTTATTTGAATAAAGTGCCATTTTCAATGTAAACATTACACAATAATTACACAATGTTTGGATCAATTCACAGAACCAGATTTTCAACCACATTTTAGGGTCGCATGTCTTTACAGATAAACTTGGCAATTGTTACTGTGATGTTGAGTTTGGTGCTGGTGAGGCCTGAGGTGTCTGCAGAGCTGGAGTTACCTGCTGCTGCTGCAGCGGTAACGCTGCCAGAGGTCCTGACTGTCGCCGTTGTTTAATCCCACGGCGCCTTAGTGGATGGCCGGAAAGATTTGCCGTGTTTCCGTGTTTTTTTATTTGGCTTCTACATATTCTACAAACAGCGGCCGACTTATTTAGAACACCTCCGTGTTTGCAAAAGCCAAAATGTTTCCACGCGCTGGATCGGTAAGTTGGTTTGTAAATGTCTCGCTCGCAGTCGTCTCCTCTACGCTGTGTTTGTTGTTGTTCAGAGTTTCGCGCGGCTGCCACTGCGTACTGATGACGTCACAGACAGGCAGACTGAATCGAGTAACGTTTAACGTGTCTAAAGTGCTAAAAAACAAACATACAAACACACATCCATACCGTTTTTGTACTTAAATCCAATGTGTGTCCTACCCTCACCTATGGTCATGAAGGATGGGTCATGATCGAAAGAACTAGGTCACGGGTACAAGTATCGATACAATCGATTATGTACCATTTCAATCGATTTGTAGTCGATATATGTCGTCCGGAATCCCGATCTGCGGAGCACAGATCGATTCAGTTGGATCGCAGGAATATAAATTGATTAATCGATTCAGTGAATGAATCGTTACACCCCTACTATAAGCCCATTTGTGTCGTTGTTCCTGCAGTTATTTGTACCATTTGACTTTCATTTGTTCAAATTGTGTACCTGTGCGTTTGCTTTAGCTGCACACGTGTACATATGCGTACGTATGCATGCCTGTGTATGTGTGTGTTTATGCCTATGCACGTGTTTCAGCTTGTCAGTATGACATGGTCGGTCCAGACGGCATCGTTGAGTCCCTTCAGATCACCAGAGACGGGAAGGCGGATGCCACCGAGGCCGTCGATTGTAAATGGTACATCCGCGCTCCGCCGCGCTCCAAGGTCAGTGACGCTAAGCTGCGCTCCCATCCGACTGTGAAAAACAATGTGGCAAAGCTTTGAAATGTGACACGTGACAGAGTGGAAGGGAAATTGTATTCCCATCAGATGGGATTATTACAGAGGAACGCAGGTAAATCAGACAACAAATAGGGAAAAGAAAAAAGAAGAAAAAAAACATGCCCCACTGCTGTTCATTTGACAAATACTGCATGTCTTCATTTATTCATTCAAGTTCCAACTTCAAAACATTTTCGGCTCAATTTCTAGTTGTTCCTCAGCATTCCTTCACACATGTGGTGAGATCAGGGGTTGCATCAGGGGGCTTTGATAGCGAATGGGTTTGGGTGCAGCTGTCAGTGGTCTCCCAAATGGGAGGTTTCGTGGCTGCGTCGGAACATCTTCCTCTGCTCGGGTCAGACTTATACACTCGTACATCTAGGCTGTACTTCTGAGGGTCTGACCCATTTTTTAATCAGCAAGCTGTTGCCAAGAGGAATAGAGCAATGGAAGGAGAGGGAGGGAGATGAAGGGTGTGGGGGGAGAGCGAGAGGTTAGGGAATGTAACTCCTGATGAGACAGTGTCACCATGCAGTTTCACCCCCGAGGCCTCCAACAGCCTACGTTTGTTTTCATCGCCAGTATTTTCTACACGGCCCTGCGTGCATATACAGACACTGCCCTGAAAACACACACATGTCAACACCTGTATTACATCCACTTACACTCACCAGACATGCAGCGTTATCTGCCGGAGTTACCTGTGCTGCGTTAATGCTACAGGATTAGAGGGTGCCCGAGGGAGGAGGCCCAGCAGTAAAGGAAACATCGCCGCTTATGGCCCAATTGTACACTCACGTCCACAGTTGAGTCCATGCCAGCCGTCAGTCGACCCCTGAAATAATGTTGGTCTTCTTCTGGTGCATTTGCATGCCTTGATTTGATGGAAAACGTCCACATGTTGTTGTTATAACAGCCTAAAGTTACAATTTCAGAGATTCGTGTTTTGTCCTCTTTGGCGGCACCCATGGTGATAAACCAAAACTGCAGGTGCGTTTCGGGATCTTACCCGAGAATCTTGCTACAGACAACCAGGTCACAATTCTGCAAATGCGAGAAGCTTTCGTCAGTGTGCCATTGGCTGAAACACTACTACAGTACCTTGCAATGCAATTTTGTTTTGGTTGTTCAGGAAGCTTTTATAAAAATGTCCCCTATTACCCCGATGGCGAGGCCCCTATTGCCTCTTTTGGGGCATCGCCATCAGCTGTAACTGCTGCATGAGCACATGGCAGAGTGGCTGCCGTGAGCTGACCAGTGAGGCACATTTACAAGCACTGGAACTAATGCTCTAAAAGGCACGTGAGGCCGACCCGGGATGCATCAACACAGCCCAGCGAATCACAACACATATGACGAGTCCACACGTCGCACACATATGCTGCTGTAATTGTACACCTTTAACGTTTAACCGTGTGACGATGTATTCAGAAACCCCACTTATGGTCACTGTGAGAAATAAAATCAATAGATTAAGGTATTATGTACGGTCGTGTTACTGGGATTTGGTTCTCACGGTGCGTTTATCTTCCTGATGGTCACACGGGAGTGAGTAATAGCCGCTGCCACGTCAGCTCAACAGACAGTTGTAGTTAATGCTGCATGATGCTTTCATCGGTCACCGCAGAGATCTTATCACACGGCCCACATTAGGGAGGCTGTTAAACTTTGTTGCATCCCGCTCTAAAACTATGACTTTTTTCATGCAGGTTTTTCATTTGGTACTGCCTGCTCTTACTTTACACACACACACACACACACACACACACACTCATAATATGCCTTGCTGGTGTACTGTGATTCATGGCCACGGAAGTCGCTTAGCTTCTATCTGACAACATGCTGTGGTTTTCATAACGTTTAGTTACTCCTTCAGAGTTTTCTTTTAGATTCAGCTTCTTTAGCCGAGACCACAGGAACTCCCAAGTCTACCTGATCCATCTGTAGAGCTTTATTTTCATCATCAGCGCCCATGAAGCCAAACGATACTGTGAAACAGCTATTAGGAAGAAGCTTTCATTTTTCAATCACTCAAAGTGGAGTGTGTAATTCAACACTGCAGCTACAGCACCAAAAAGGATTCACGGGTCTTTGAGTGAGGCTGTTTGTGCGTGACATAGCGACCCAGGGCCTTGGTAGCATGATGTATTTTCCTTGGTTTGAATCAATGTCATATTTCGGAACACAACTTGCCGCGTGAGACGCTCCTGCAGGCGTCTCACGCGGCAAGTTGTGTTCCAAAGGCTGACAGTTACCGGCACTGATGGACAAGGCCACAAATGTGCTTTTTTTTAGCAGGGATCTATCTTCAGTCACACAGTCCTGAAGCTCCCATATCCACTTTTCACCCTCGATCACTGGCCAAATGCATATATAGCTTACCGTATACTGCTGCAGTGAGGAGTGCGAAGGACGCCGCCCCCCCCACACACACACCACATCAGCGTATGTGCTGCTTGCTTTCATTTCCCTGTGCTGATTCAGTACTGTACTGTACCCAGTGTGCCAGAAACAGCAAAGAGATAATGACATCCTATACCGCAGGCTCTAATTAGACCGTACCAGAGCGCTCCAGAGAGAAGGGAGCGGAGGGGGACAATAGAGGAGGGAAAAGTGGGAAAGGTGGGAATAAGGGAAATATATACTTAGTAGTGCATTTTATTAGGGATATGCACGTACAGAGAGGGAGTCCAGTGGCGTTAGCGGCAGATAGGGATTGTGTCGTGAAAGGTAACCGAAGGGGGAAAACTGCCTGAAAGCGACACCGACTTTCACCAGAAGTGACACCGCACAAATTCTAATGCCGTAGTGTTCTTCTTCGTGGTGTTTCTGTTTTGTGCAGCTGTCCTGTAGGGGAATATTTTCCTCTTAAACTAAGTCAATAGTTTGTACCCGTAACAATGACTGTATTTCCTCAACCATCTTTTGTGTCTTGTCTGTCGTGCATTGTGTGACTGTTTGACAGCTGCCGCCTAAATATTTGCAGCACGTACTCCTGTTACAGACTCCTTTTAGCAACACTGAGAACATATTCCTCCTCAGTCAGTGATGGATCCCGCGTCATTATTCGGCGGCTGCGGAATCAATGAGGATGCAGCCTTTTTTCCTGCTGGGAGCCAATCTCTCGCCTTACAAATTGGTGATTGTATCTGCGTGATCCATTACCGTCATTTGGCTTTGTGATACCATCTGCAGACTGATTTTTCTTCATATTGTGCCAGTTGGAAGAGTTCAACAACAAGAGCTTTAGAAAAAAACAAGCTTTTCCAGTATTTGTGCACTTGTTGGTTTTTGCATGTTACCCTGACATGTTGAGGCCTGTCCTGATGGCCTTACCCGTCATGTCTAGCGAGCATCGACCAGACGTTACTTCACAGGCATGAAGAACCGCGGTCGTTATTCTTCCATGCTTGAACATGAGCAAAATGGGAAGGATGCATTCTGTGGTACCATTTACATTTCATGTCATAAAAATAATAACTTTCTGATTGAAGACCGTAAGGCAGTCATCTTTTACAACTTGGAAGTATGTATATGGCAGGATGGTGTAAATGCTTATTTTCTTGTATCACTTTGTCGCCCATCTCCGGGAAAATGAATATTTAAAATACTTTTTTTTCCTTTTTTTAAAGTTTATGTTGAAACTACCAGCAGTTACAATGGTAGCTCTGTCCTAAAGCCACATTTACATTTGTCCTGCACAAGCTGTTCAAGGGTTTAATAAGTGCCATTTTTAGTCCTGGATTGATTGATTGAATACACAAAACATTATATATATCTACTGCTGCTATTGATCCACAACCCCTATTTGACCTAAACAACATTAGCTGCAATGTGAGCGACAAAGCAAGTGTCATCAGAAAGTTCATCATTGATCTTAAAGCAGAGCTATTATAAGCTGTGAAAAGACTTTGAGATTGGTCAGATGAACCACGTATGCTTTATTCTCTAGTACTGGTGCATTAGTGCAGGTCACAAATATGTCATAGGTAATGACAGGACCAAGAGGCAACAGAACCGTCTCTCATCGCGCTGCTCACAGTAACAGCGCATGATAATTATAAGCAGGGGATGTGTTTACCACTCTGCTTATCTTACTTTGCATTGTACACCTTATTACTCGCAGTAATAAGGTGTACAATGAGACAATAATGTCAGATTCCGGACATAAAAATCATGTCTGCAAAACCAAATTGTATATCAACCATCTTTCCATCACCTTTAAAAGGCACTGTGCAGACCATTAATGCTTTATTGGATACACCCCAACAGAACCCTACAGTGAAATATGTGAAGAAATCATTTTCAGAGCAGCTTCGATCCAGTCCTTGCTGCAGGCGTTAAAACCTGTTAGGAAAGGTACATCTCTATTTTCTTCTGGAATTACATAAAAGAAGACCAACATGATGTCCTTCTTTTCTTCTTGTGACAAAAGCCTCAAGAGTTACTGGAAATTGACAAATCTTCATAAGACGCAAGTTATTCAACATGGAATCCCAGGGGAAGTGGAAAGCTTTTTTTCTTCCCCCTCCAATCCAATCCCCTCGTCATGTTGTTGAGGCCAAGTTGACATTCCAAGGTCCATTATCCCGCTCCATCTGTAGCTTTCATCTTTGGGCATTTGGAGCGTCACATTTCCCTGTCACATTTCAGGAGCGATCCACTCATTAACCGTAATGGCGGTGAGTGCTGTGCACAGCCAACCAGAACCAAAGCCCTGATTGTGCAATCTCGGCCTGACGAATGAGTGACAGACGATGCCGAGGCAATGAGGAAGTGTTACTTTCCCCTAGAAAAGCTGTTGTGAAGAGTCAAGGTGGTTACCAAGGTGGATATTTCACTCAGTAAGGGATCGTTACGGTAATAAAATAGTCCATATAGCTATCATGGCTTTAAAAGCTTTGTTATAAACTGGTACCCATACATTTGAAAGAAAGGGTCCAAAATGAGCTGTACAAGGATGACACACAAAAATCTAAAGCTTGAGACAAAATATCCAAGGTCACCTTAAAGTTTAACATGGTTTTAGGTTCTGTGTGATACTTTTTCCCAATACATAATGAGTCTGAAGCTAATAGACGCTGGAGTCCTCTTTTCATATGAGATCATAATGACTTTTGTAGAAGCTACAGTCTGTCAGTCCTATTTCATTACAGAGCCTCTGAATCAAGTAAGAAGCAATATTAGAAATGAGCTGAAATATTTTCAGTTCACCGTTTTTTCTTTCCACATCTTTATATTCCTCATTTTATCTCTTCCTTTTCTCTCTGTGTTTCCCCCCTCCCTCCCCTCCCCTCCTCCCTGCATTGAACAGATCTACCTGCGTTTTCTCGACTATGAAATGGCCAATTCCAACGAATGCAAGCGCAACTTTGTAGCAGTGTACGATGGTGGCAGGTGGGACATTTTCAACCTCTCATCTTGATGAATTGTACGTTATACAGGAGCTGAAAGCGGCCGTGGTCACACACTCCATTTAGGCCCTTTATCTTAAAGATTGTGACTTAATCATCTCGTTATCGTGAGCCAACAACTCACCATTGTGCTTTCTCTTTTGAAGGTTTTAATATTTAAATATGTGGCGGCATTGAATTAATGGTTGTGAACAGATCAATCACCCAATGAGTAGCACCCTGAGAAATGAAGATCAAATCAAGATGAAATCAGATCAATTACTTTATCGGAATCAACTTCTCACACAAGGAGAAACATTCATATTCAAGACAAATATAAGAAGGTTATTGTTGAAAGAATAATACATACATTTTGTAAATACACTTGTTTGCTGTCTGGAAGGTTACAAACAGGCTAAGCTACAGAATGTTGCCACACCCAGCCAGGAAGTGGCCATGCACAAATCCCCTATGAAACCATTTGTTTTCTTCCTGTTTTAGTGCTTATAATAAGATAAGATAGGCAGTGCTGGCAATTGATAAAGCAAGTGAGCTCTCTAAAATATCCAGCCATTCCCAACTTTAAGATTATGAGATATTTAAATCCTGATTAAAGAAAACAATATTCAATGTCTTGAGATAAAAAATAAATTTAGTCATTAACTGCAATACGCTTGACACAAATATGAGCTCAATCAAATGTGTTATCTTGAGATTAACTACGGTATGTGTGAAGTTGTGATTACATGATTTTGGGCCTCCAAATATTCCAGAGCAACCGTGGCTGCTGTTAAATAATGTAGATAACTGATTTTCACGTTAAGATTCAGCGGCAATATCCATGTAACTCGATGATAAACTACAGATATGTTATCTCATCCTGATTCGTCCCAGCTCGGTGGAAGACCTGAAGAACAAGTTCTGCTCCACGGTGGCCAACGACATCATGCTGGTTTCCACGCTGGGCGTCATCCGCATGTGGGCAGACGAGGCCAGCCGCAAAAGCCGCTTTCGCATCCTCTACACGACCTACCAAGAGCGTAAGAGGTTTTTCATAAATATGTTTACTGCTGCATCACTCGCCTATTGAGGGAAACTGATTAGCTTTATTAAATCAGACTGTGGCTGTGACATTGATGCCAAAACAAAACGGGTCTGGTCTCGTGGCAGATGTTAAAAAGGCGGATGGAGGCACAGTGGCCATGTTTATGGCTACGTCTATTGCATGCCCTCAATAGAAAAGGTGCTGTCAGATGTTTCCATTTATTTCTAATGAGCAATTTAATAGCAGACAGTTGGAAACTAAGGGCTGAGATCTCCATTATAGGGAATACAGCCTGTGGGTTACTGCGGATGGGATAGTATTGGTGGATTTTAGCTTCGTCCTGCAGCACTACAGGCGTCGTTCTTAATAGATCGATACAGAAACGGATAGAGAAAGGGCCAAAGACAAAAGGAATATCTGGGGTAACAGCGGTATATTCACATCTACCAATTTTCTCCTGCCAGTAAAGCACACGAGCCGGTCCTCTTTCTCATTCAGTGGCTCCTCATTGATGGAGCTCGGAGTTTGACAGGGGTTGCAGAGGGCATTTTTTGCACTAGTGAGATGAATGAAGAGGGTCTCCGGCTTGTGAGTATACAATATGTCAAGTTCATTCAGCGCCTTTTACTGCCGCACCCCCCACCCACAGCGCTACACAACACATTGCATCCTTTCGTTTTGTGAAGAGGTGTCTCTCACGGCAAACTGGATATATTCTTTTTTTTAATGAAAACAGTAAAAGGTTCCTCATTAGTTCTAATCAATTCACTGAGTTCAAAACCATCATTTTCCATTGGTTCCTCTGAAATTTCAGAGGTGCTATGATTTCATTGTCATGATTGCAAAAGGGAAACAACATGCTTTCTTCCAGACTGCTTTATTGTTGCCCCAGTGCATCAAATTTAGATTATGGCTCTGGAAAAAAAAGAAATAATGCCAACTGGATTACGGCATATATATGTACTACATATATCAGGTTATTTGAAAGTGAGCTGAATTTGTCTCCATGGTCAATTTATTGAATGTCACAAACAAGACCCACACACCTAACCTAACCAATGATCAGACCCGCAAAGACAATCCATTGTTACTCCTCGTCTACATTGGTTCTACATGTATTTTGCAGTAATGCGATTCGTTTGGTGTCTTGCTGCTACAGGTCAAGTGAACAGCATTAGTATTATTTGTTTGTATTGTGAAGCCAGTGTCCCCTTTTGTACGGCCTTTTCACCGAGCAGAGCCAGGATGCGCTGTTGCCGGGGCAACGCTTCTGCTTTAGTCACTCAGGCGATCCCCAGCCAGGACTCAGCCTTTAGAGCAGCATCCACCACAGCTCAGCAGCGCTGCACCAATCCGAACAGGTGTACCAGTGAGGTAATACAGTCCAGTGAAACAGTTGGATGCTGTCTAGTGATGCTGGACAGCAATCACTTTGTTAATTAGAATGTAGGAGTAGTAGTAAAATGGTGGTGTGACAATCATTTTCATTTTGGCACAGGGAAAGATTTGTATTCTATGTGTGATGACAAAATTGAATTATATGCACTTGTTTTTAGAGGATGCATATAGTTGTTTTTTTTAAAGGCACAAATAATAGATATAGAATAATTAGATGAACATTCTGCATTACTGCTCATTAAGACACTGAAAGGCAAAGAAAACAACAAAGTGAAGAAGATGCCCAACAAGGTAAAGTTCGCAAGATTACGCTTTTAAGGGAGATTCCAGGCTAAACAAACACCCAAAAACTGCCGACATCTGTTCCATATATCAGGTCATTCGCTTGCACCAGAACTAATTCAGAAAACTTAAAAAACACCATTTTATGATAATGCAAAAAAGGATTTGTAGTGGAGACATTGTTCAAGGAAAATGTGCAAAGGAGTGCAGTTGACAGAAGGTACAACGTAAGGTGAAGTACAATGTCTACCGTGTATTACAGAGGTTAATAATGGTGAAAGGAAGACGGTGTGCAGCTACTACGAGTGAGAAAGTGTACTCTTTCACAGGCCCCACTCTCTGTTTGCAGGGCAGTTTTCCAATAAGCGCTTTGTACAATAAATCCCAAGTCTTTATATGTCTTTTCACAGCTGCTTGTTCCCAGTGGGATCCAACAGTTTTTAGAGATCCATTCACAGCTGCCGACTCCAAATAAGATGCTGCAATGGGGACGACAGTGGTCCCAAATGCAAACATCCACATTTATTGTCTGTGCTGCGTTCACACCTGCAGATACTACTGATCTGCCTCTGTTTGCAGACACACACACACACACTCACACACACACTCCTGCTAAAGCAGAGCTTTAGTGTGAGATTACAAATATGAAGTATGAGAAAGTGAAGCCTATATTTACCCAAGAAGCAATTATGTCTCAGGTGATAAATGTGCTCATGTGACATCACGTCTGTCAGCATTGTTACGCCTCATCAACTGATACCCGTCTCCGGGGCTGCAGATGGAAATTTGCTCTGGCTTCACTACACACATCGCTTCTGGTTTCTTTCAAAGCTTCTTTGCCGAATGCATGAAAGAGTTCAAGAACAACAGAGTATGCTAATGTCTGGATCTTTGTGTACTAGAATTATATCATCTCTAAGCACTTTTTATCTTGGTTACTTTTGGATTATAAAAAGTAGCGTGGGAATTACATTAGATTGTGGAATTATACAGAAATCCATAGCAGAATGAGAAGCAGCGATGGCTGTGTGGACGGAAATGGATGAATGGCTTTTTGGAAAATCCTGCGTTTGGGGAAATTCCATGAATTGGGATTTAGTTGAAGGTGCATAATCAAAAGTAGTAAATGCAATCCACCTAATCAGCTGACACAGCCCACTGTTTTTTGCTAACTAATAAATGGAAAGAGTAAAAAAAATAACATGCTTCATGCCGCAACCAGTGAGGGGAGGCCTGTGGAGCCAGTCTGTCTTTTTTTAAATAATTGTGTTAAGTATACCTAACATTATAAAGTTAAAAACAACAATGGGTAGAGGATAACCAGTCACTGACTGTAATGTCCCAAATTAGAGCCAGTGAGAGATTATGCCACTCTGGACATGAGCACGGAAAAAAGATCCTTAATTCAAAAAGGACAAAAAACATTAAGAACATCAAGCTTACATAAAGAGATATCTTCCCCACCTCCTAGAAAAGGCCCAACTTCAGTTGAAATGGAACAACAACTCAGCTCTATAATGGTTATTTGATTAGAATCAATCGTGATAACCGTGTGTTGCTTCTGGCGCTTTGCTCTCAGAGTCCACCTCTGCAAACACACCCAGACTATTCTCATCAGACACTCATCCAAGAGTTCATTTATACCTCTAGCAGTGACTCGGCGTGTTTATGTGCGGGCAGAGAGGCACTTTTATTGCAGAATGTCTTGAATTTTCATTTCGCAAGAGATTAGTTTGGATCTCACTCTCCAAATGGTTGTTTTCCTGCACCATCCTGTAGCATGTGGAGGAGAGACGAGACAAAAATAAGAAAATAAGAAGGAGTGGGCTCCCTCTGCTGGTTCTTAAAAATGGTTTGGATCTTTGGCATTCAACGCATGAAAGTAAAATCAAAAAATGTGAGAAAGAGGCAATCAGTGGTAGAGGGGAGAGAAAGAGTAGAGTTGGCGAAGGCCCAGGCAGCACGGGATACAAAAAGAGAGATAAATCACTCTATTTGTGTGCGTTATTATGCACTAGGGATGAAAACGGCCACACATTACTGTGCTTACACTGTCAAATAGCCCCAGGCTTTGCCATATCATGCAAAGAGAGCGCACAACAATTATTTAACAGGTGACAGTAAAACTGCACTCTACTGGACAAAACGATTAGCACGCTGTTGGCGTGTCGCCGCGGCGCTCTTCCTCCCAGTTGTCGCCCGTAGGCCACTGGTTTTTACGATCATGTCTTACAGATGAGGGGGGGGCCTCTACTTCTTATGCTGTGAAAGCAGCACTATGTCTCGGGCCAGCGGAGCGGTCGCCATGATAGATCCCGTGTCTGAGGACACGCTCGTGTTTACGACCCGGCTTTGAATTTGGCCGTGCACCGAGGACAAATAGACGGCGGCTTGCGTGAATAGAAATAATTTATTTTGGGGGGTTTGTACTGCGCGCAGATGATGAGGAAAAAACGCGGCCATCTTTCCATTTCAAGACATTCATATCTACAAGTCGTCTTTGCAAATGTTTGAAGAGGAGGGAGATGATGAAAATTCATGAAGAACAGATGGGTTTAGGGAGGGGGGGGGTGGCAGGTCTGGTTTGAGTAATGCCCATCCCAATGTATTTCCTCAAAATCTGGCACACTGCTACATCTCCTCAGCCGTAAAACCTGATTCATGGCGCAGCATGTCTAGTGTGTCCTACACGTCTGCTGATCAGAAAGAAACTTTTCACTCAATCGTTCGTGCGGCTTCTGATATCAATCGAGTAGGTTGGGGGATGAGTGTAGTTGTGTAACTGTTTTGATTTGTCTGCCCTATCCAGCTCCATGTGAGCCAGAGGCCTTCTTCTGCCACAGCAACATGTGCATAAACAACACGCTGGTGTGTAACGGCCTGCAGAACTGTGTCTACCCCTGGGATGAGAACCAATGCAAAGGTGAGACGGTACCTTTTTTCCACATCACTAGGGGGAGATGTTTGAATGTGTGAAAACAGGGCGGGTTTGAACATTTTATGCTTTTGCCAGTGGTGCCACAGCCGTGCTACTGTTATTTTAACACACACCCTAACCCTAACCCAGAAAATAAAAAGTTGTTGATCAAAATGTCATTATTGCGGATTTTTTCTTTTTAATGATATAATTGTAATAATGTTTTACTCTCTTTTACTATTAAACCCTTTGATATATCTATATATAAATATAGATATATGAGTTTGAGTACAATTCTATGTGCAGGTTCACAATTTCGTCCATAGCTGATTTCCTTTGCGGTTGTCCTTATTTTACCTTGTTTACGCAAGCACGGTCCTACGTATTCTGTGACCTCGCAATACCGTCTATTTCCTAACATCCTCTTTAGTTTGCTTCCTCATGCACTCTGAATTTTAAAGCCACCGGATCTATAAATTGATCTCTACTCCTGCCACTGGCTCCCTCCATTTTAAACTGCACCTCAAAGTGAGATTAACTCATTGCAGAATTGTCATACGCTACATGATGCTATTCCAATAATTAGCTGAGATGTGTGAAGAAATCTGCATCATCAATTAGTCATTCTTCGGTTCCTGGTTCCATGAACCGTCACAACTCTTTACTGTCGCCCCTCGGACCCGTCTCGCTTTGAAGCTCAGCACAGATTTCTTACTGTTATGCTGTTGTGCGTCACTTTAAGGCCTTTAAGTCATGTTGCAGTTTGTTCTTGCTTCAAAACATTGTTCGCAATCTCTCACCTAGGAAAAAAAAACTTGAGTAAGTACCCGCAGGGAGGCTACGGTGCCGTAACTCTCTCTTGAGCATGGCAAATGACCTTGTTTAATTAAATCCCACGCTGCCTATTCCTCATTTAGACTAGAGTTTGAAGTTGTGCAGAACTCAGTCTGCAGTCCATGTTTCTCAGCCTGTTACCCCGTCTTCCACCTTGTCTCCGCGCCAGTAGTAGCGCGTAGTGGTCCTGCAGTGCCCACATTTGTCTTCATCACTGGTAAAATGTCAAGTTTCATTCTGTACTACTTTGCTTTCACGTGAAGCAAAGTGTCTCGCTACATGATCATCCAGCATTTAAATGCCAGCCCTCTCCACACACCAGTCAGTCTTCGTGGTGATCGTCATAAATGCACTATAGTTATGAACCTAATGTGACCTTTTGCCCGTCGTTTCGATAGCTAATGGCAGTCATGGACTTATCTTGTACATGATGAGGTCCATTTGTTTAAGATTTCTTTACACGTGAGCTGTAATATCTTCTTTTCTGAGCGGTTGCTGAGGAGATCTTCGTGAGCTCCACCGCGCATAACTACAATGATAACTCAATGGAGGTGTGTTGTTGTGGAAGGAAACACCGCGGATGGGGCAGCAGTTCTTTTGTAGGCTGATAGGCAGCACATACTGAGAGCACACATTACATTTTTATATGACATTTTGATTTCAATATGACAGCTTTAACTAACAAATGTGAATGGCCATTCATATTAAGTTGCAAGTCCTTGATGCAACTAGTGCAATTAACAAGCTTTAAAGATTATAAAGCCCCCTGAGGCAACTTTGTGATTAGTGATATTGGCCTATAAAGAAACAAAACAATGACTCAACTTTACTCTGTGTGTGTGTGTGTGTGTGTGTGTGTGTGTGTGTGTGTGTGTGTGTGTGTGTGTGTGTGTGTGTGTGTGTGTGTGTGTGTGTGTGTGTGTGCATGCTCAGTTGTCAGTCCTCAACCATCTTTGACAAATAATGGCTAAAATAATGTATGACAAAACCCATTACAGACAGACAGGGGGACATCTGTGAAGGTGTCGATAAGCAAATCAAAAGTTATATTGAAGGCTTATGTGGTTCTTAATTTGTTTTCCATATGTAGTTGAGTTTTGGGAAAAAGAGAGAGAAAGAAAACATCCAAACAGTATCTCTCTCACAAAAACCTGTGAGACATCCAAAGCTTGAAGGGCTTGCTGTGCCTAGTTACGGTTGCTAAGCTGTGAATGAACAATCAATGAATTGTGTGAGGGTTTCACGTTTTGCGAAGCATTTCAAAGCCTGCAGTTGATAGTCTCATTGAAGTTGCTTTTTTGTTGTGATGTCTTTTTTTTTTTTACCAATGTGCAGAGAAGAGGAAAACCAACATCCTGGACAACCTGAACAACACAAACGGGACCATAATCGGCGTCACTTGCTGCATCGTCCTCATCCTCCTAATCGTCTCCGTCATCGTCCAAATCAAGCAGCCGCGTAAAAAGTACATCCTCCGGCGCGAGGACTTTGACCCCACCATGTTCCAGGAGGTCTTCGAGCCGCCCCACTACGAGCTGTGCACTCTGCGGAGCGCCACCGCGGCGGCGGCAGCGGCCTCGGCCGACCTGGTCGACCTCGCGGAAGACTTTGAGAACTACCACGGCCTGCGGCGGGCCTCCTCCCGCTGCGTCCACGACCACCACTGCGGCTCCTTCTCCAACCCCGGCTCCGCCCACCTGTCCCAGCTGTCGCTCAGCGGGCGCGGCAGTCGCGGGAACCTGAGCGCCCGAGACTCGGCGGGCGGCGCTCTGCTCGCGGACCTGCCGCAGGCGCCCATGGCGGTGCGGCCCTTGCTGCCGTCCACCGGGAACCGCAGGAGCATCTTGGTCATGAAGCACAGCTACTCGCAGGAGGCGGCGGACAATGGGTGTGACCTGGAGGACGACCTGGAGGAGGTTCCCACCACCAGCCACCGGCTGTCGCGTCACGAGAAGGCAGTACAGCGGTCAGTATCCATCGATTTCTGATGAGGGAAGAACACCAACCGTAGAGTTAACTATGGGGATGTTTGAAATGTGTGTGGGATGCTTAGGCCGACAATCATTTATGTTTGTCCCTTAGCTTTGTTCTCCTCCTTTCTCTCATATTATTTGTTTATTTGCTATTATGATAAGCATCTTTTTTTTGCATTGATCCTTGTTTTTTCTCCCCTTCCCATCATTAAAAAGGCTTTTTTTTCCCCCAAAGGGATAAATATGTTAACAAACATGCCCTCCGTATCATGCCACCGCCCCTCCTAGTTTTTGCCTCAAACGGTGATGCACAGCGTACAATTATCTCACTGTGTTTTGAGGTTCCTTTCAGCTCTATAAGCAAATACAGACCTCATTTTAGAAGATATTAATATTGCAATCAGTCCAGTTTGGATTGTTAACCTAAGGGCTTGAACCTGTGCCTCATGAAGACGACTAACTTCATTGACGTGTATGCAAACAATTATAATACATGCATTAATATTCCTAAGTGTTAAATTATACAAACTTAGAACATCTGGTTCATGCCATTATATATTATATCTAAAAATATATTTTTGGATGTGTAATGCTTGAAAAGTAAATGTTTACAACCGCACTATGCGAAGATGTTAGAGAACATGTTATACGTAGAATACTTTCCTGCATGCACTTTGTATGTTCTCTTTCCACAGTGGTCTTCACCTCTAATTCATTTTCTTTGCATGCCGGGCTCCCAGAGACTAGCAAAGCACTAATGACGGGGGGGTGGGTTGCTGTTGTGTAGCACATTAATGCATTCTAACCTCTATGCAAACGGAATTTGATATTAAAGAAAAGAGCCGTGACATTTCAGGTTCTGCCTCATTGGCTCTTTGAGCAAACATGAATCAGAGTACAACACAACTAGGGTCTAAGAGACAATTTCAAGGTAAGCTACCCTATCCAACAATCCAAATCTCTAAATGTTTTTGTGTAGTTACCATTTGCCGAGTCAGTATATATTTTGATGCAAGTTTTCCTTTTCTGTGATTTTTGTCTGGGTTTATATTTTATGGGTTTTTTTGTTTTGTTTTTGTTTTCACCAAGATGGTTTTATTGCTTGCAGCCATCTTGAGTTTGTTTTGACGTATTTGTGATGCTGAAGTCAACTGTATGTCCTCCCAAGGACATACATTGTATCACTCAGTGGACATTCATTGGCATGGATTCTTTAATCATCTTTTGTTGAAAATGTTATCAAATATGTCTAACCTCTTCACTCTCCTCCGGAGTAAAATAAATTTACATCACTCATGTGAAGTAAATTGTTAAGTCGATATATAAAAGCACAAATTACAAAGCAATCGCATGTTTACATGAAAGCATCAATGATTTACACATCTTAACTGATCACACATTCATACTGAATCCCTCTATTGTCATGCATGGTGTCCCAGTCCAATGCAGTGTTTGGTTGATTGTCAAGTACAGTATTTATGCCTGTGTGTGACAGTTAATGTGTACGCTCCAGGGCTGTGCTTCATGAGGTTGCAATACGCACAATATGAGTATCAACATATGACGAATCAATATGAAATGTAAGTAAACGATGAAAAGAACCCATCATTATTTTAAAAAGGTACATTTCAAATGCAAATACGGATTTATCTTGCATAATTTATGCTTGCAGCTTTACGCTTGCATAAAATGGAGCAGTCACAAAAAGTGTTACCTACTGTTTTGTCTTTAATTGTGTAAAGTGTGCTTTCATGTTGTGTTTTGTGTGTGTGTGTGTGTGTGTGTGTCTGTCTGCTTATGTTCTACATTATGTTGCATTGTCTCCATCATGTAGACTTCTTGAGAATAGTGCAATCCTGGATCAGTACGAACGGGCGTCGCTCGCATATGAAAAAGCGGAGCAGGGATTTACACCAGCATGATGCTGATGATGCTGATGATGGTGATGATGGTGACGATTATGATGATGATGATGATGATGAAGGGACCCTTTGACGACAGGATACTGAATCTGTATTCATGTACAAAGATGAACACAAAGGACTAGATGAAATGCTGTGAAGCGCATCAGCTCTGTACGCACTGCAGTAAACCCAGAATGTATGCGTCACTGTAAAAGAGATGGACCTTTTCAGAATGACTGATTACTGATTATTCTCTGGTAAACGTTAAAATATGGGATGTCAGTCAGAAACATATCGGTCACTGTTAATGATTCCTCACTGAAAACTAAAGAAATATGATCAAACATCTTCATGTTTATTTCTAAGCATGTATTTTTTAAATGAATAGCACACATGTTATCATTTTATAGCAAACTTTAGATGCCCGCAATTTTTTTAATCTAGATTTATTTTATAAAAAAGGTAAAAATTTGGTTTAATTACTAACCTTGATCAATTTAAAGCTGTTGGAATACCCACAAATAGTGGGTATATATAGTATACTATAGTATATAATTTGGATAACAGTTCAAGGCTGAGATATGCATGCTTATTTTCTATTCAACCAACATTAACTTACTAACATTAAAGTTCCCCCCCATCTACTAATACATATCTCTTAACACATAGAGTACTGAGGCATCTCAAATATGAAATACACTGCATGCTGTTGCTTATTCAATCAAGAGAATTGCGCAACTTCATTTAAACTTCATTTACACACTTTAAAACCCCCTTTTAAATACGTTGACTAACTTCCCCGCAGACGTTTTTACTTTCAAAAGGAGTTATTTTTTTGGTAAAGATATTTACTTCAAGTCTGTTTGTCTTCTAACTCTCTTCAACTGCAGGAGCTTAATATATTTGTATTAAAAACAGACTTTTATATTAGGAGAAGTTGAAAGGATGTTTTTTTCACGGTAACTAATTATCTTTCAGGCCTGGTTTTACTGATGCTTTGTAAAATAAATGAAAATAAAGCTTCGCCTATTTAATTTCTCTTTTTTTTATTGGCTTCTGGTCATCAATTCCTGTTTTCATTTGGTGTGTCCTCAACCTGTCAACACACGCCATCCATGACTCACCTTCATGAACAGATGTTCTTTTTGTTTGTTGTGGCTACTTTTCTTTAAGAAGAAGACCAAAACCAAAAGGATTTGTTTCACAAAGCAGGACAATAAAACGAGTCCTGGACAATTCAAATAATCACAGGTATTTGCGAGTTAAGTCACTTTTGTGTTTTCTGTGTATACTGCAGAAGAGATGCTCGCTGTAACAACACTCACTGGTGGCAGGCTGCTTTTGTAGGTAAAACAACCTTTAATATATGGAAGACGAGAATGGTAGATCAGCTGTGCAAAATAAAACAAATTGCACTCACTCGCACATGACATTCTCTTTTTTTCCCACACTTTTACATTTCCTGAGTTCCAATTTCCGTTGTGCTGTGTCTGTTTTTACATTTTCTCTGTGTGCATTATATTCTGTATTCAATGTCATGTATGTATTATTTACATCCATGCTGTCTTTTTCCTCCATGTACACATGCATCACATACTGAATTAAAGTGTTGTTTTCTATACGAGCATTGTTCTCACGCCTGTGTCTTTTCTGTCAGTTTCATTATTTTGCCAAAGCTTCTGGCAAAACAGTCCAAACAGCTCACTCAAATTCTCTCTTCTTCACTCTCTCCCAAACACACACACACAAAGTCATAAACTCATCTTCCAATATATAGATGGAGGCAGACAGCCCTGTAATTAAGTAAGTCTGAACCCATTTGATCACAAGCAGCCAAAGCAGCAGATGAGAACAGTGTAGGGCCCAGGACAGACTTTTAAGTAATAGTGTTTTTATTTCTCTGCAGATACATCAGACAGATGCGGCATCATTCCACGGCACCTTCGCCAATTTGAAAGCATTCGGAGCGAAGGTTTTATGTAGAGAGTTGTGGTGAAAAAAAAAAAAGGTTTGTGATGTTCTTGTTCTTTGCTTTGGGACCGCTAAAGTGCATTTTCCTCGTACCAGTGCTCCGCAGGCTGCTGGGATCGACAAGCGCTGGAACACTGATGGTATCAAACAGAGGCCTGGAACTTTTCTTTTTTTTTTTTTAGAAAGTACCTTTAATGTAAAGTTGTTTTTGGAGAAAAAAAAAAAATCAGGTTTTTTAAACCATTTTCATGTTTCCATCAAGATATGTGAAATTGCATATTTTAGCTGCTGATTTCATATCAGGTTGTTTTTATATCCAGATAAGTAGAGAAAGCCTTATTGAGAAAACACAAAATGTTGAAGAATGTTTGAAATAAAGTGAAATGATGTAACTTCATAAATTGGTGCAGAGGCCAATACATTATTCCACTGACCTATCAACTAACATTTTTTTTCCCATTTCACAGATGTCTGAACATCCATTACTTTATCTTTGTAAAACTAAATTGCATTGTGGTATTTTCAGTTTTTTAACCTGTTTGCATATTTATTTGATAACAGAAAATGCTGGACCGAATGTTTCAAATAAAGTAATGTTTACTGATTTTATTGTGATGATTTATTTGTTTTTACATTGTGTGCATATTTGATATACTGATGCGTGTATACAGCTTAGACTAGATTAAGCATACTACACTTTTATGCCAGGAAACCAATAAATGGTTTCACATCACATATTTATTTTAACCCAAATCATCATCAAATGGAATCATCCAAAGGTATGCAGTATGCTCGATCTAGTCTATGCTTAATATGCATCAGTATACAAATATAGGCACTATGTTCCGAATTGTTAAATCTTTTTTAGTATTAACTTCGGTGTCAAAACCAGAAAATCCCCGGGAAATAACACTGAGCGTCTGGTACGTTTGGTGCTGCGTGAAAAAAAACTCCATCTCCCAAGAATCCCAGGGTGCGTGACGACATAACGATGCGCCTAAGCCATGAAAAAGACCACGAACGCGAGATAGTAACGTCACGTCCGAGTCGCCACCTTAACCTTATTTACTGTTATACGCTCCGCATTAATGCCGCACAATAAGTCCCTCTACATCACCGTAGGCGAATGCTAGTTTTTAGCGCCTCCGCTAGCCTTCGACCGCGCTGAAGCGCACCCACTCGCCTCGCTCGCTCTCCCGGAGGACACGGCCATGGCTTACGCGCAGGTACTGGGCGCCCTGCTGCACCGCAACCTGCGTCAACGTAAACTCGCGCAACTCGGCTTCCTCGTGTGCGCGCGCGGGCCGGCGTCGAGCGGCGGAGTCCACGCGCCTCCGCCCGCCTGCCGCTGGCCGGGCGACCTGACGGCGACTCACGCGCGCGCTCAGAGGTGCTTTTCGCTCTATTCGGAAGCCAGAAATCAAAGCAGCCCCAAAGAGAGAGACGGGTCGGTCTCCAGGTACCAGGGTGGGAGCCCCGAAGCCTTCGGCTGCACGAAAAGGTGACAGCCAGCTAAACTCTACATACACACACACACACACACACACACACACACATACCCCACAACAAGTTCATGTTTTAGTTCTCATGTTGTTCGGACTGATATTTTAGGGACTAGTGCATAAATAGCATGTGAAATGTTGGCAAATCATAACCATCACAAGTGCTCACAATAGGATGTTTCATAGTAGTCTTCTGGTCCAGGAGCCCATTTATATAACAACTGTTTGCACTTGTTCCATCGCATGTATTCTACTTCACCAACATGTATTCAAAAGTACCAGACTGTGTGTTACAGTTGACACCAACTTCTGTCTAATACTTCCCACCCTTGATATCCTCCAGTGAAAGAAGCTGGCCGAGACTTCACCTACCTGATAGTTGTGATCATTGGGCTTAGTGTGACAGGTGACCACAACCTCCAGATCTCGTGTCGAAAAAATCCTCTAATCTATGAGTCGAATGATGCGAACGGACAGTAAAATGCGTGGTTCTGTGCGCGTGTTTCAGGTGGATTGTTATACGTGGTGTTCCAAGAGCTGTTTTCCTCCTCGAGTCCAAATAAAGTCTACGGGAAAGCCTTCAACAAGGTCCGGTTGGACCCAGAGGTGAGAAAGATCACAAGTGGCCGAGGCCCAAAACAATCTCCCTTAACTCCCAGTTAAATAATCCAACCAAAATACTAAATCCAAAAGTGCACAACTATACTTTACACTTTGCCTACATATATTAACCGGTTTTGTTCTTTGAAAAATGCAGGTAATTGGCGCATTTGGGGAGCCAATCAAGTGTTATGGGGAGACTACCCGTCGAGGCAGGAGGCAGCAAGTCAGGTGAGCGTCCTGCTTCTGTGAATAAGCTGTTTATTATAATTATTATTATTATTATTATTATAAGAGTGTTAAATAAATGGTGTTATTCATAAGTTAGAATGTGTGTGGTGGTAGTGGTGATGATGCAACCTGTTTGTTTATCTTGTCTGTGTTCACATAAGTCACCGGGAGTACATGAAGGATGGACTAAAGCACATGAGGCTTAACTTTTACATCGAGGGCTCCGAGCCTGGACGCAAAGGAACTGTGCACTCTGAGTCAGTAGAGGTTGGTTACCAATATTTAAGAGTTCTAGTTCCACATGTGACAGCAGTGGCCAAATGTACAGAGGTGGTGGTTAGACTGTTGCTGTTTAAATGTTCACACACAGCCACCAAATTGTGATTGTTTTTCTTTTACCTCTTTATTATTTCCCAGAATCCTGAAACTGGAAAATATGAGTTCCGTTACATATATGTGGAAGTAGATACCTACCCAAGAAGATCCATCATTGTGGAAGATAACAGATGAGGAAGATAATGGACGTATCTCTTCACTGAAAACGCATTCAGGAATTTTTTTGTGCAATTTCACTTTAATTTACCATTATAACTTGTGTTAAAGTTCAACAGTTTGTCTGACCTTTTAACTTTAGATTTTGTAAGAACAAATACTGTTGAAATACAATAAAACTGTTGTTGTGGATATGTCTGTGTTTGGAACTTGATTTCACTGTGATCTATTTTTCAGCTTCATTGAATTATAGTACTATGTGAGATCCGTTTCATTTTTGATATCTTGAAAATGGCAGATTATGTTGTCCGCTTATAAATAACCTTTGCTTTTCAATTTCCTCATTTAGTTGAATACGTTTTGTATTTGGTAATCCTTTTGAAATGGTAAATGAGTGATACGATAATGACCACTAGATCGAGCCAAAGAGTCAAAATGTGGGAACCTCGTATGACCTTTACTTGACATGTTTTATTGTCCACTCTGACTGCATGTTAATACATAGATCATGCCGTGATATTGCACAAAATACGTGCACAATAAGCTCCGTACTGCTAAAACAACGGTCACAACAACAGAACCGCATTTTCATTCGGTCTCATCAACACGTGAATGCAAAAAAAAAACTAGCCGACAAATTTTGAGAGGCGTTTACGGGAAACCGTGAAGGCATCGCGGCCGTGAACCCCGCCCACTGTTAAATCATAGAGGTGTGCTAACGTTAAACTCTGTCGGGACCGGTTTGATGTGGATTGTCTCTTTGCTATCAACTTAAAAGCGTAGCTGGTCGAGCAACTATCTAGTAAACTTGTACCTGACACCGAGAAGGTATGTTCAGAAAGCAGATTTCGATTTCCGTTTTGTTCTCGCTGGGCGCACCGTCAACGTGAGCTTGTAGCGTTAGCCACCCCGCTGTTGCTGCTGCTGTTGTGTTATCCTGCTATCCGGTAGCCTAGCTAAACTTAACGTTAGCTGTTAGCCTCGCCTTGATCCTGCAACTCCCGACACAACGAGCGGGAATGACCCACCGTTCGAGCTAAAAGGCACGGGGGGAGTGGGGGGCGAGTTGTCGCGAATAACAGTAAGTTCGCGACCCTGTTCCGGTGTTGAGTTGAGTAAAGTGAGCGGAGTTCCCCGCGGAGCCGCCGGGCTACACGCGCCATCTGTTCCAAGTTACAGTCGCATTTAAACTCAGCCGGGGAGCTGGTTTTATTTACACTCGATGCATCCCGCGATTAAATGAAGTTACATCAATGGTTTCAGGGCAAGTTGTGGTGTCGGCTGGCGATCATTGAGTTGTCTTCTCTTCCCCCCCCCTCACCAGCAATGAGAGCCTCTGATAACTGATTGACACCTGGCCGTCATGGAACTGTACTGGTACATGTGAGTATATCGTGGGAGTTTTATCATTCAAAGTTACACGTGAGCTATAACGTATGGAGCTGTTGCTTGACCCCCCCTTCTTTTCAGAGTGGTTATCGTATTCATCATCATCAAGATTTTCTTCTACGTGTGCTGGTACCGATCGAGGCAAAGGCAGCTGGCGGCGTACCTGAGCAACCCACGCAACGCCCAGATCGTCATTGTTGGAGGGAGGGCCTACCTCCATCAGATGTGCGAGAGACAGAGTGTAAGTACACACACAAACACGTTTTATACCGTGTGATCTACTCCTGAATTAGATGTTGTGGCATTGCCTTTGTCAGAGAGAGTCTGGGTATTTCAACATTGTACCACACTGGGGTCTAAGAGTGAGTAACACGGCTGCTTGTTTCCTTTCGGCCAAAATATCCACATTTTGAGAGACATATGGTGTCGTGGCTCATGAGGGGGGGGGGGGTTTATGTTCCTCTTTTGTTTCAGTGGGGTGGGTGTTTCACGTGTTCCCGGGCAGACCCGTGCACCTAGAGACATAACCTTCACGAGGTCCGGTTCGCTGTAACTTCAAATATTGCCGGCAAATCGAGCTTCAATAAATGGTCAAAAGTAAACTTAAAAAAAGGTGTAATTATTCAGGTTCAGCTTGATCCACATTGCAGCATTTAGCCAATACGTAGCCAGAATGTACTGTCAAGGTCTCTTTTTCTCTGCTGGAAAGACTGGAATCCTTTTTTAGGGGGTCAATATTTGTGCGCCTGGCTCTGTGTTGTGATGTCTGTTGCAGACAATACTGCTGGTGTGCACTAAATTGGTGCAATACACCTCGCGGTGCTGCCAATTTCTGGATATTGGAAAATAACGTTAACATCAGATGACTATAACAATCTATTTGGCCATCCGCACACTAAGTTCCTCCTCTTAGCGGCTCCAGCCTTCCTGACTTTTGCTTTCACAAAGCAAAGTGCGGCCCCCTACTTTCAGAACCGTGGCGGTTTTCCATCCGCCTGCAGTTGACCTCAGAAAGAAAGTCAAACTGGGTCACACGTGTGTTACATTTTTTTTTTTTGCTTGCACAGCAGCTATTTGCTCTGTTAGAAGAGCTTCTGCTTTTTCAGTGGGTTTCTTTCACAAGACGGCCTTCGCTTCACTCTGCGACATGCCGACCCACGGTGTGGATGTGTACCGACAGGCGCCAGCTCGTTGTTTACATGTACTCATGAAGAAAGAAAAAAACGACTTTTCTTTGTGTTTATTGTGCTTGCGATTCCGAGTAGTTTATCTGATGAATGCGAGCAGCTCTTTAAGAATCTTTTGTTTGGTTTGTCAACTCCTGCGTTTTCCCTGGCACGCACACACACACACGTTTGGATGTTTTGACTACAAATTGCAGACCTATCTTTTTGTTGTTCCCATCAGGTGCCGGTGGAGTACGGTTTGATTTGTGTCGATGGTTTCAGCGATGCGTCTAAAATGGCGACGCCGTTCCCTCAGCACCAATTTGTATCACATAGTCCTGCGGGCCGCATGCGGCACGCGCTCAGAAAGCCACCGTGGGCGCCAGAAAGCCACCGTGGGCGCCAGAAATGGAATTCGCCACGAAGAGTCACTTCCGTGCTCGTTGAGCGAGACACCACCCCGGCTTTTGAGATATTCATCGCTGCAGTTGTTCCATCCAAGAGGCACTAGCTGTGATTATATTTAGAGGCGCTTACAGTATTTGTGGAACAGGAAATGCCCCACTTGTAAAAACAAATGAACAGCAGTTGAGGAGCCTGGACGTTTTGGCCTGGTTTTCCCCCAAATCACTGAATATTTTCTGTCTTCTATCTGAAACATTTATCTTATTTTATTTCACACCCGTTTGTCTTTTCAAATATTCTAGTTGAGGCAACATATCTTGTGGAAAGTCAACCGTTCCTCGTTGCACAAATGCCTTTGTAAAAATACCAACGGAATGCGTTAAAGTGGTCGGCCCACTTACTTTTGATGTATGAAAGTAAAATTGTGAAAACTAGATTTATTGCTTATTTATGAAAACAGCCTCAACTGTGTGTGAACCCGGTAATCACATTTGAAGTGACAGCCCTCAAAGTCCTTCTTGCACACACAGTCTCTTCCCTTTTGCTTCTCTTACCTCCTCGTCCCCTTTGAGAGTACTCGTGTTCCCGATCTGACCTCGTTCCACCACTCTTCTTCTAGCTCTTTTATCCTCTCCTGCGTCCTCTCTTCCTCTCCCTGTGGTTCCCTCGCTGCCGTCTCTCGTGTACAACGCTCCCCGTTCTAGGTTTTAATGGAATGCGCCGCAGGGAGGCCCCGCGGTCGCCCACAACCGGGCAGTCTGAACGTGTTCTACAGAGACGCCAGGGCCCATCGGAGGTCCCGGGATGAGACGAATGAATCAAACGTGGCGGAGTCCTGATGTAGCATCGCTCGGGCCGGCTTATTCACCTGAAAGAGACAAAGCGAAAAACACTTTATATTACTTAAAGGACCCAGAGAGGGATGGAAGATGGATTATTTGTAGTCTATCAAACTTCATCTCTTTCACCAGTTGTCTGGGCCGACAGAAATAGAAGGGATAATGATCTTGGCGTGGTCTCTTCATCACTCCCACAACAACAGGATGGCGACGTTGAACTAATTAAAAGCCTTAGTCAAAGGCCTCACTGGTTATGATTTAATAAAAACGCATTTAGAGCCCCCGCCACCCCCCCCATCACCATGTTTGTTGTATTGTTCAAACCATAGGGACACTTACTAACCCTCTAACTCCTCTGTTGGTGCTGTGACACACGCGTGTGTGTGTGTGCGGGACACGCTGTGGTTACTCGCTACACTCGTCATGCAAAATTCTTTTGAGTTTGACTGACATGTTTTATTTACTGAAACAAAACAATATATCTTTTGAAAAACATTGACATGGCGAGCGTCGCCGCCCGGTGTAATTTTGACCACCGCAGCATATTTATGGGCTTCACTGGCAGACGTTTGTGTACTTTATGGGGCGTCAACGTGGTGCATCGGGATCAGGATTTCCATTCTGGAAAAAACACATGTTGCAAAATACAGAAAATAACTGTAATCCGGGCAGCCCGGCTGCTGTACCGTGACAAGAGTCGCGTCGGTCTGTGTGTTTAGGAATGTTCCTCCAGTGTGTGTGTGTGTGTGTGTGTGTACCTGCTGGTCGATGTCAGCCTGGATCACAGGGTTTAAAAGGAAGAATATAATCACGGCCAGCAGCAGTTCGGCCCCTCTGGGGACTGTTACGCCCCGGTCTAGGGGTGCCTAAGGTGCAACATGAATAGGCCCCAATCTTCCCCGTCTCCCAAATAGCCACACACACTTTAAGTTTGTATAGGGGATATTTATTGAAAAAAAGCTCTAGGTTGAGAAAAACCCAGTATGTTGAGGCAAAGACAAACCACGGCTTCGCCGTTGCCCATCCCCAATATAACAAACAAACCAAAAAAACGAACCTAGCTAGAAAATAAGACGCTGACCTACCAAAACAAAGGAGAAAAATAATGACATCAGTCTTACCTACCTAACTACTTTAAAACAGGAGAAAACCAACTCAAAAGAAAAACAGGGTACTTATTCAGCTTCACGGTATGCTACAAGTGGCTGGTTGGAAGAGGAGGAGGACGAGGGTTGTGCTCTGCTGCTGTTCTCCCCTGCTCTGGTCTGCTCTGCCTCGGACGCCATCTTGGCTTCCATTATATGCCGGCTGCAGCCAATCACAGGACGGGTGGGAGACCGTCCACCAATCCGCGCCTGGTGGTGGCACATCCCTGTTTGAATAAAGAAACCAGAAAGACACCAAAAGAAACCCACAAACACTACACAGATGACCCCAGTCATAACACCCCCACACCCAAGAAGTAAACCTTCCCCTAAAAGGTTTACTTCCTATAAAGCTGAGCACCTGGATAAGGCGTCTGCGATTACGTTCTCCGTACCCTTTTTGTGGCGGATCTGCAGGTTAAAATCCTGCAGAAGGAGAGACCAGCGCATCAGCCGCTGGTTAGAGTTTTGCATGTGAGCCAGAAATACCAATGGGTTATGATCTGTGAATACCGAGACAGGCTGTGAACTAGACCCAAGGTAAACTTCGAAATATTGTAAGGCTAACAATAGCGAAAGAGCTTCCTTCTCAATGGTACTGTAATTAAGCTGGTGCTTATTAAACTTTTTTGAGAAGTAAGACACTGGGTGATCAATGGACTGACTGTCCTCCTGCAAGAGGACAGCCCCTGCGCCACACGCACTGGCGTCAACCTCTAACTTAAAGGGTCGCGTAAAACAGGGCGCCGCGAGAACTGGTGCATTGCACAGTAATGCCTTGGCCGACTCGAAGGCAGCTTGACAGGCGGGGGACCAAATAAACGATTTTAAAGGACTCACAAGTCCTGTGAGAGGAGCAACAACGTCCGAAAAGTTTCGACAAAAACCCCGATAATACCCACACATTCCAAGAAAACGGCGCAACGCTTTCTTGGACGGGGGGACCGGGAAATCAATAATCGCCTGCACTTTTTCAGCCAAAGGACGCACCTGCCCCTGACCTACCTGTTTACCTAAATAGGTAACAGTGGCCCTACCAAATTTCACGGTATGCTACAAGTGGCTGGTTGGAAGAGGAGGAGGACGAGGGTTGTGCTCTGCTGCTGTTCTCCCCTGCTCTGGTCTGCTCTGCCTCGGACGCCATCTTGGCTTCCATTATATGCCGGCTGCAGCCAATCACAGGACGGGTGGGAGACCGTCCACCAATCCGCGCCTGGTGGTGGCACATCCCTGTTTGAATAAAGAAACCAGAAAGACACCAAAAGAAACCCACAAACACTACACAGATGACCCCAGTCATAACAGGACGTTTCCTGTAAAAGCAGCCGCATCAGCGTGTGAGCAGTAGGGACATATTGTGTGTTCTTTTGCATATGCTTCTGTTGTTGTCGTCACCTCTCTGTCTCTTTCCCCCTCTGTAGCAAACCTCCGTCTGGCCCAGTTGGTACGGCGTTCAGGACGACCTGTCTATAGAGGAGCCGTCTGCGGCTCTGGCGCCAGCTGCTTCCTTCTCCCACTTGGACATGCCCCCACCATACGAGGCCGTCTCCGGAGGTAGCACACGCGCTACACCGCGGCAGTCCGTTCCACGCGTTCCTTAGTTTGTTCAGAGACCCCATTACGTCACGATGTGATAACTGAGCCTTTGTTACATGTCGAAGTTCTACTGGCATTAGAAGGGCCATTAATCCAGCTAATCCCACACATGACAAGCAAACCCCCCCCTCCCCCGGTCAGTCCCTCAAAACCACCAGCATTTTGACTCTATCATTACCAGGTGGGAGGTTCGTGTAGCGTACTGATTGTAGGGGGCCACAACCAGCAAATTAGCACCTGGTGCTCCGAGAACAACACACACATGGCGTCTGGTTCTGAACAAACTCCCACATGTTTGCACACACAGATCACTTTGTTTGCTTTCAAAAGGGCAAAGTACTCTGCACATTTTGCAGAGTTCCTTTTACTCCCTGCTCCCCTATTTATGTTTCTCCACAGCTCATTGTGGATTTCGTTGAATCGTTGTATCAATTCAGTCTCCTCCTCCTGCATTTTAGCACTAATTCAATTACGTGACCTCACACTTTGCCCACACGCCTGATATTTTAGGGCGTTTCTCAGGGCGTGCTGGTGATACAGATACTTACTACCGCTTCATTACGTTAATATTTAATAAATACCAGGTAGGACTCGGTGCCGTATCAGATTGCTTCTTACACTCTTCCTCTGATTTCAAATTCTATGACAATGTGAACTGTTAGATCTGATAAAAATAAAAGATTGTACATCACTGTCTTCACGGAAAAATGCTCCTGCCTTTTAAAATGGAGTGTTGTCAACCTGAGACAGTAATGTAGTAAGTGCTGTAACTGCAGAGTGACCAGGGGGATTCAGAATATCGCTGCTCTGGGGTCCGTTTCTTTCCTCCTCATCACACGTATATATTCCTATAAACCCGCCGTCACTGCAATTTTCCCCCGTGTCCTTTACTCGTACGTTTAGCTGCAATGCGTCAAGTCATTTGACAACATGCAGGTATGCGGTTGGTGTTTTTGGACTGCTGACGAAATGCTCGCCCTGTCTCCTGCCGTCCTTTTCAGAGGACGACCTGAAGCCCCCTCCTTACAGCGAGTGTGCTCGCGGCGACGAAGGGGTCGGCGCCGCTCCTCCCGCCCATCGAGCTGCTTTCCTCACTGAGGCGGACGCCGTTAGTGCAAACGAAGCCCCGCCCCCCTACACGCTGTCTCTCCCCGCGCAAGACGGTCCGCAAGGCGTCCCCGTCGGCCACAGTGAGTCCCCGGCGGAGAGCAGGTCCACCTAATCGAGCCCGGATACCAGTTTGCCTTCTCCGTGCACTGCCTTTCCTACATTGAACCTCAGTGATCGAGACCAGATGTTTACTTGGATGTGAGAATAAATGTGTGTGTGTGTGTGTGTGTGTGCGCGCAGGTTTGGTGGTTTATAGATCCACATTTTTTCTACTTTGTATTGTGTAAAAAAAATTAAAAAAAAAATTAAAAAAAAGGAATAGAGATAATCTGATGGGTTTAACAACATCAGCAAGCCTGTGTGCCTCAGTCAGGAATGCAGAACCCAGAGGATAGAGATGGTCCCCATGACCTCCGAGCTCACGGGGAGCGGATGAGAAACGGATCAGCGGTCCTTCCCGCTGTGCGAGGCCACTTCCTCTCACATAACCAGGTCACTTATTCTGCAATTGTGTTTCAGTAAATGAGCCGTACTTGGCTCCTGCTACCGGCGGACGTCGTTTCTGAAGAAATACTCGGCCCCGTTGTGCGCGTCAATACACATCCGAGTCGCATAAAATGAACAGAGGCATTATAGACATTCCAATTAGACTCCTGTGCAATTTATTCAGTAACTTGTAAGTGTTTCAACTTCAGCAAACTGTTTTTACTTTTCATCAAAACTGCACCACGTATTATTTGAAGACACAATGTTGACTGGGAACTATTTGATGATGAATGCACTAATTGTCTTCAATAATTACCCATTTAACACAACTGGTCCTGTTTTAATACATGGTGGTGACCATACTGGCACGTTAGGCAATTCAATATCACGTCTGTGACGGAAGTGAGCGAGGACAAGCGGAACAAGCTGGTGAAATAGTTTATGCAGGTGGATAAGAGATTGTTCTCTGTTGCCGGGTGCTTTGTGTTGCATTGCTATTGCGCCTATATGCCAGAAATAAAAAGACGCTGCGCAGACTAAATAATCCAGAATTGCGTTATTTCTGTGTTATGCTGTGGATTTAAGGGGGAATAGTTGTTGTTCTCCCACAACGCATATGAAAACAGTTTCTGTAGTCGTAGATCAAGCTGTAAGATAATCAGGTCAGGTATGAATTCTAATTTTGAGCTTCAGGCTTGGAATGAAAAGGAAAATGAAAACAATCCTTTGAAGAGAATCGGCACAGGGCAGTGAACTCCGGCTCACACAGCGTTGGAGCTGAAGGCTAAAATGTCAGACAAAACTCAGTTACTTTTCATAAATCTTGCAAAATGAAGACTAACCAAAAAAACATGCTTTTATTTTTCCTCGTAATTTCCATGTAAACATGCCACAGGTTGGTAGGTCAGCCTGTGGATTTCCTGTGTTTATATTCTCCTGTTGTTTTGGGAGAAGCTGTTACTCTGCGTTTTGTATCGCTGCATTTCAGAAGTTCGATGCACTTAAATGATCCGCTTCCTATGTTTGTAACCCACTGCAAAACACCTGTGAACAGTTGGAACAAACACCATGAGCGCTGTACTAATGCATCCTGTGGGACATTATGAGGTGACTTGCATGGGAGAGTCAGAAGTAGATATCAAGCGTTTTTGACTGACAGTCCTTCATGTTGTGATGACAAATCGTGCGGCATCGATCACTGATGCCTTCCCCTGTGGATCTACAGAATGAATTCCAAATGTCGCCCTGACCGCCGTCTGACGTCACTAAACGGGGCTCCCTCTGCCACGTGTGTCCTGTTTGAGTAATTGATGTTTGCTCCCGCGGTGGTTGACCCGTCACGTCTCTCCACTTGCTAGCGTTGTGTGTTAATCTGGGGCAGGCGGGTGTGTGTATTAAACTGTTACTCATCTTTGGGCTGTTTTGGTTTTCTTGCTTTACGGTTTCTTAGCAGATTTGATGGTTGCATTTCTTTCTCAAGTTCAAACAGAGGAGACAGATGGTTTTTTTTTTTCTTTTTGCACAAATCCTTTTCCTTTTTTGAGACAAATCCTGTGCTGTGCCACTAGAGAGCAGTCTTCTACCAGGGAGGATCGGCCCCCCCTCCCTGCTCCTGTGCAGCCTGCACCTGTTGCTGAGCACGTGCACTGAGCGCTCGTTGCCATCTCCGCTGTATTGATTGAAACATTTGATTACATCTTTTTGGGGACAGAAAAAGGAATTGTGATTTTATTTTATTTTTGTTCCAGTTTGTTCTTCAGATGGAGGAAAAATGCCCTTTAATCTAAAATCAATAGTGCCGCCCGCTTGTGGAATACGGGGGAGAGTGGATTCGCAAGGACATTAATTTTTCATATCTTAGCCCCTCAGCTGCCGCATCACTAAGCTGCATACAAATCAGCCGAGCTTCAACAACTGACAATGTGCGTACTCTCCATTATGAACCTTTGTTTTTTTGTAAAGTATTGTGTGTGAAACAAAAGCGCACAAAACGAGCCAAAAAAAAAGTACTTCCATGCTTTATTGATTCTAAATATGCAGCATTTGGTGCTTTTATGTAAATATTACTTTAAACATTTAAATTAAAAAAAAAAGGTCAGAACTCAGTGATTGCGGTGTGACAGAATATCTCACTTCTGAATGCGGTGCACTGGTTCTGGCGTTGAGTAATTGATGCTTTCGAGGGGAGGGGGGGGCTGTATATTTGCATTTCGGGCAACAATCCATCATTTAAAACCGCTTTGCTAATCATTACATCTCACAAACAGCTGCATGATGAACGCAGCACGGAACGCTGTCCTCAAGGAGAGACGTTTGTCCGTCAAAAAGGTGCATGCAGTGGTTGTGGGGGGGAAACATCACACCTTTTAAATTCAGCAAGTAAGACACATTCCAGGCATGGGTGAGGCTGCATAAGGTGTCCAAAAAAAGACGCCTTTTATTGATTTCCCCCCCGCCCCCTCAAGGTTGTTTTGGGAGGAGATACCCGAAGGTAACCTGACCAAAAAAGGTGTTATTTCATTTCATCTAGCCACAAATTCATGTTGCATCCTTGTGCGAGGACGTTTGGTTCTGCAGGTCATTAAACCCGCTAAGAGATTCTTTGTCTGAACGTCCTGGTGCTTCTAGCTTCCTGCCTTATTGGGTTCACTGGGATGGAGCCAAAGAGCCAGAACGGTTGCTCTGGCATTTCAGGGGCAAAATCAAAATGTTATGTAAAAGTTATTTTACAGTCATTTTAAAGATCTGTCATGTCCCAGGTGTTGTTTGCTCCTCTATCTGAATTAATGTCGGTTTCATTTCTATGGCAGTTTGTGACACATTAAACCTACCAACAAAAATGTATGAATTCAAGTCTGTGGTGCAGATCTTTGTTTTTTTTCTTCCTCATGAATCTTCTCACCACGGATCCAATGTATCGCATTTCCTCAAGAGAGAAGTAAAAATGCAACAATCTTTTTTGATACTTTAGTTGAAATTTTTATAAGTAGGATTAAACGTCAGTCCTTTTTTATTACTTCTCTCCCCTTTGTTGGTACTTTTTGCTAAAGTGTATCGTATGATCCATCACAATCCGTTATGGTTTACTATTATCAGTGCATTTCATTCAAAAAGCATTGATTGACAATGAGGCGGTTCCATGATTGCATGCGACTACTTAGTGGTATTTAATAAGGAGAAAGCTGGTTCTCTCTTCAGCAGTAGCACAGAGTAAAACGCCGCTGTCCATCCCAGCTTCCATCAACATCAAGTGTCAACAGCATGATAAGCAGGTTCATCGTGTCCCCTCGGCCGCCCGTACAGATGGGATCTAGAGGGCAGGGCCAGGCCAGGCCGGCTCCTGCGCGATGACACGATAAGTGAGGACGTCTCAGAGGGGGCAGGACGACGACCTAATGCAGACAGGTAGGTGCGTGTGCGTGTAACATGGTGGCAGGCTGTTGAGTTTTAGGAATTTGTCACAATCTGTTGGATGTGGTCGGGAACTCAAAAATTGCCTTATAGCCTTTATTTGTGTGCAAAAGGTGAAACTATGAGACTAGCTGGGTTGGTAGCTGACATTCACTGAACATCAAGTTACCAGAGATTACGCCCACAAAGACAATGTATGGACAAAACTAACTAGAAAATAAAGAGTTCAGATTATAGAAACTAACTCCAAAACTAAACACCAAACAAGAAGAAAACCAGGATCTTAACTCAAATAGCAGTGAATCCCAAAACTTCCCCAACATTAAACTCCGCTGCATGAGGGCACAGCTCACACACTAACAAATGCCCTTTTTATGAGCAGACAAGGAGTTGTAATGCAGCTTCTTGCTGATGTCTGATGAGGGGCGTGGCAGCCCTAAAAAGTGTGTTTATTAAGGCCTCATCGCCCCTCATCAGACCATGAGGGGCGATGATGCCTAAAATACGAATAAATATCGTCATATTTCCACGTGTTCTTTTTCTCCATCACCATTTGTTCTCCGTTTAATTTAATTCGCTGAAGGGTGATTCCCTCAAGCAAAGTCAGCATCTAATGCTGACCTACAGAAGGGGCTCAAAATGTCAGCCAGAGAGCCCTCCAGCAATGCATCAATGATTTGGCAACGGGACAGAACTTGACCCTCATGGAGTTAGCGGGGGCGCGCCTCAAAGTTTGTCAGGGTGCAGATTGGTTTGTGCCTCAGAGCCTGGCTGAACTCCGTCAGGGGAGGTAACACCCTCCTCCACTAAGAGTTGGTGCAGAAACAGAAATTGCAGTTGCATTTTCCCTTCAGCGTACGGGAATTGACGTGATATGCGCGTATGCCGACTGTTTTTTTTTTTTCCACAAGTGGAAGAAGCGTGTCAGCTCCTTTCAAACAATCAGTCTCTCCAACCTGTGCAGTTTTTGGAAAGGACTTCAAAAGGTGCAGGTGCACAGCAGATTGAGTTTTTGTGGGAACTGTCGATCCACCGAAGACGGGTGTTTGTGCAGGAAGCCAGAGAAGCGGCGAGGGAAACAAACGCAAATCCCTCTGAATGGCCTGAATCCTGCCGACCTCTGACCTCGCGCTAACTTTGCATTTTCCCTCTCGCTGCTCGCCCGCTGTACGCCTCTGCAACTTCTAAGTCGCTCTGTAAAAAAAAAAAAGACGCCTCCCGTCTTGTGCCTAAGAAATGGAGAGGACTGTTGTTTCCCGTGTATCAGCTTAGTAAGAATTTACATTTTAATTGAATCCTGATGTTTGGGCCGAACTTTCTGCACGTCGAGTAACTGGAACTCCCTCACAGAAACTACTTACAAGCCTGAAGTGAGTCCACACAAGATGACAGGCCGTCAGACACGTTCACATCGGCTGTGCAGAATTCAACTCCATGTGCCAAGATTCCTTCTGCTGCCGTCACCAGGAATATTCTTGAAGATATTGTGTGTGTGTGTGTGTGCGTGTTTGGAATGTCAAAAAACTACAGCTGGCTTTGTGTTCATGTTTTCACGTTTGCTTCGATTTAATGAGTTTGAATGTGCCAAGATTTTTCATGCCTCCATTGTAAGGGACATAGGGAGAACGTGTGTGTGTGTGCAGACAGCAGGGAATCAGAGTTAGGATAAGGTGTGTGTGTGTGTGTGTGTGTGTGTGTGTGTGTGTGTGTGTGTGTGCACTTGGACACCCATCTTTGTGGGGACCATTTTTTTGGCATAAACCTTGAGGACACTTCTCACTTCTTCAGAGCCGCGACCTGGTTTTAATGTTCATGGCCTAGGCGAAGGGTTTGGGTTGGGCCTTCAGTTTTGATTGTTCCGTATATGGAAAGAGGCAAGCAAATACCTCATGTCACAGTGTTTGTGTGCGAGAGATAGAGCGCTCTATCACACTAATTAGAATGGACGCGTCCAATCTCTTTGATGTGGCATGTTGGCCAACTCTGCTGATGTTAGAGATTCTGTCTTATAAGATATTAGATGAAATATATGGTCTGTCAGCACCTGTCTTTGTTCACTCTACCTTTTACTTTCTTTTTAGAATATTATATTGGACAAGATGGGCGCATACCATTGGCTCCGAAGGGACTTTGCAATGCTTTTTTTTTTTTACCTTGTTACTCTTGCAGTGTATCAACGGAGATGCTGTGAGTTACTGAGATTGAGATGCACAATGCTTAATGTCAATTCCTCTGCAGGTTAGTTGCTCAATTAATGAACACAATAAATAAATTGTTGTAAACAATAAATTGTTTTATGAAATGTGTTCCCAGAGCGTAAAGCTCAAATCATGTTTTATCTATAGTGAAAAGTCACTTTCGGCGATCAGCAAAATCATTATGTTTCATCTCCTGGGCACCTTGAGTGTCTTTATAGATAGAAAACCTTCACACAGCCAATTTTCTCATCGACTTATTGATTGATTCATCAACTACTAAGCGTATTAACTACTATTGCAGGTCCAACTACAAGATCTTTTTTTCACCTTTTTTACTGAAATAAAGTTACTTTAAAACCCAGTTTTCCTTCACTCTTCAAACTTTCTCATTACACTATTTCAAAGGCGTTGCTTTGTGTTTCCACGACACATAGAAGCAGGTAAAAGACCGTACTTACACAATGTCTCATTTGCGCTGGTACGGGCCGGAGCCCCACCCGTTACAATGCAATTAAAATGCATTAAAATGCTAATTTGAGTTGTCCTTATTTCATTATTTCCAGACAGTGGCACCTGCAGCTTCCATCCAAGTGCCGTCCACCGCAACGAGATGGTGATTAACTTCAGCATTATCGCACTGATGAAGAGCAACTGAAAAGTCAAGAGCGTAAATTGAACGACGGGCTGCCAGCGCCGGGATCCAACAGAAGTCATTAGGATTCCGACTAATTACACCGACTCTGACCTTCCGTTCTCATTGCTTCAACGGGGACAAATAGATAGTACAGTTTCCTCTCTGCTTGTAACCCGCGCGTGGGGAAGCGCAAATAACGTTGTGTTAATAAACGACGACATTGTCACGTCTGCTCCGGCGTGATGTAGGAGACCGTTGGCGTAGTAACAGCAGGGCAGACGAGGGTTAATTATCTGATAATGACACTCTATTCATTCAAAGTCCGTGAATAGAAATAGATAATAGAGATCACCAAGAAAATTAGATCATCCTATTCCTCTTGAATAAGTTTGGCAATGCCAAAGAACTCGGAGTAATCTTCCTCTCAGCTGCCACGACAATGAACTAAACCAACAAGTTATGATCGGTAAGTTGTGATTTCATCATGTCTATTTCTGTACAAATTGCACAACGGGCTTCACCCGTTAAACACCTGTTAAATCCAAGCCCTTGATTTATTCCACTACTCTTCTTCTGAAACCCGGCAATGAGACAGCAGAACAAACTGATGACAACAGCCCAGAGAAACCAAAAGACCTGATGTTTTGTGGGGAATTAAACGTAACTAGGAGGCAAAAACAACAACAAAAAATCTTGCTACACGTATGCATAGCTTTGATCAACTTTCCAGCTGGGCAAGTCTGGGGTTTTATCGGCTCCGATCCTTCTCCCTCGCAGAAGAGAAACAATGTGCTTTATTCCATTATACTGTAAATCCAATCTCATGCTTCACGCTCTGCGGAA